TACATCCGGCTCCGAGCTCCGGCTCGATCTTCACAAAGTCTCTCTGGTTATTCAGGCGAAGATTGGAGCTTCCGGTCTACGCTTCGAGTTGGGGTGCGGAGCAGAAAGGGTTAGGGCTTAGGGTTTTATGGGTTCACGGGGTTTAGGGATCTGAGGTATCGGCGACAGCGTGTGGGCGGACTCGCCAGCTGACACTCAGTCTAGGACATTTCGAGATGGGTAGTTGCCCTTATAGGAGCCCTATAGAAGGTCTATATACCTCAAAGAAGCCTTATAGAAGCCCTGTATACCCTAAACTCCCCACCTGTAGTTCCTTTAACTCAGAGCCCAGCTTCAAAAAAGGTATAGGGTAGATCCTAAAGGCTGCGTCCCATCCCCAAAAAAGGTACTGAAAGGTACTGTAGGAGGAAGTCATCATCTTGAAGCATGCGCATCAGATTGTTGTTGGGATGCATTCCCTAAACCCTCACACCTATGTCCTATATTCTACAGTTGTACAGAGAGTAGAGCGCGTCACCGTGATATCTGGTGGTTCTTGATGGGGCACAGGCAGTTGTTCAGATCAAAGTGCTGGGAAACCACTACAAGTCCTTTCGCACAACATGGCTGGAGCTATCGCCTGAGTTGTTAGATTTGAACGATCTGCCTTTAAAACCGGTACACGGTTGATCGTACAGGCCCGGGCAGAACCACCAAAGCAAGGTTTACACAGCTTCAGTCATATTAACATCGAAAGAAAGCCAGGGGTTCACGTGGTTCGAAGCATTGAGCCTACAACCCTGCCAACCCCGAAAGCCTCAAGATGCGGTTGTCTTTGCGAGCGTACGGTTCGGAGTCGCCCTATGGATATAGTTAAACAAGCATTGTTTCATTAGTGTAGTTGTTCTTACTGCTTTACTGCTCAGAATGCAAGCTTCCCATTAAAACCAGCCATATCAAGCCTCTGTCTATTATTGTCATGCTGTCTCCCGAGGATGCTAGATGTACTGCTGCTTTTTCTTTAAGGTCTCTTTAGTTTCAATATGGTTTCCAGGCTTGTCCCAGTTGTGTGTGCTGGAACCCTAAACCCTTTCAAAGGGGACCCTGATTCCTACTTGCAGCATCATGGGGGTTCGGCGATCGCGTTATAAGTTCCTGTATCAGGGCTGTATCTACCGTGCAGTTACCTTACCTAGAACCCTACTTACTGAGTCCCCTGATCCTTCAAGTAGACCATTGCCATAGAGCATCATACTGTTGGTAGGCCGTATCCCCGAAACCCTTAAGCCCTAAATTTTTGAAGTACTGTCCGAGTTGCGAGAGTCCCAACCCATTCAGTCAAGAATGTTTCGAAGCGGTGGGTCTCAGAGGCACAGGTCATCGCGGCGCTTGCCACGGCCTCCGCCCAGGAGCTGAATGTCCGCCTGCCCAGGGGCTTGGGTTCAAGTTTTGGCGGTTTAGGGCCTGGGGTTTTAGGTATGTTCAGTTTCAAGTTCGCTGGTGTCTTGTGACGACCTTAAGACGAAACCCGTGCTGAAGGCTTGGGGTTTAGGCACGTTAAAGGAAAACTCGGACAGGGCGCACCGTCCGTCGGTATTAAGCTAAGTTATCAGAATTAGTCGGGTACTTTCGCCAGCTGACGGCTCTCCTTTAAAGCCTTATTACGAAGTCCCTTGACCTGCCAAGCAAGCCGTGGTTTGATTTCGAGCTGTGGCCATGGACCTTCGATGTCTGCAGTCTACATTGCATGCCGTGTCTCCTGGACGTAACCCTGATCTCTACAACGAAGCGGGCAGTTCAGCAGCCTTTTCTTAAGGAGTAGGCCTGGAACCACGCTTCCCTACGCTAAGGATCCCTCCATAGTTTACGGGAGATTCCTGGGGCGCCTTGAGCTTCCTGTGACAGTGGGATTATCCCGGATGATACTAGGGCTTAGGGTTTAGGGTTTAGGATTCCTGAAGCCCTGAATCTGTTTGCGAAACCTTTTTCAAAACCCTAAATCCTCAGCTTTTCAAGTAGTGACATGAGGCCTTGGATGCAGAAGGCCAGTCTCTGCTAGTTTGGGGTGGCGGCCTCAGCTGCAAGGCCGCTGCATGGTTTCGGGCTCTGGCCTTTGGTATATGGTTTTGGGATGTATGGCTTAATGTAGTCTTCCAGCCGACGGCTGAATCGTGAAGTCTTGGGCTGTTTCAACACGACTCTTATTGGGACCGCAAGTCAGGTTTAATTGCATAGTAGACCCTTGATTTATTGACGGCCTGTGGACTGTCAGCGTCTGCACTGTGTAGACTCCCATATGCCCAAGCCCGAGGTCTGCATTCCTCACACCTTTTGTGCAAGGCAGAAAGATTCGACCCTGGCATGTTTTCACGTATGTGATGTGATCCCAAACCATGGCTGGTCTGGCTGTCTATGAGGGGTGCGGTTGAGGGTGAAGGCTGTAAGGATTGCTTGACGGTCCTAAGCCCTAAACCCCTGAACTCCGAGTGTAGACCTTTAAGGTCGTGTGCTCAGTGCAGCTTCCAGGGAGTCCATCATATCAACGGCAGGCGGACGATGCGTAGATTAAGTCGATAATATCGGAACCTGCTGGGCAGTGGCTTCAGTCGTAGCCTTCCTGGCACGTGCCCGTGCCCCTGAATGTAGACTTGCCGCATCTTGCTGGGCGTCAAGTCTCGAACCCTCAGTCCCACAGCCTGACCAAGCACGCCCTCGCTTTTGGCCGCAATTTGCTTGACCTCAAGTTGAAGAGCCAATTAGGTAGTGGATGGGGCCAGCAGAATCAGAAGTGCCGCTCGTGCACTTGGAAGGCGAGTTCAGCACGGGTATGCGACGTACAGCACCATTGGCATCCTGCTAAGTCATCTCGCAGTTTTTCAAAGATGTAGACGCAAGGTTCTTAGTTTTAGAGGCTCGAAAACGTCGTATTCTTGGTATGAGGTCAGTTGGTGACATGGGATCGACATCCCATGCCAGGTGAATTGATTGTAAATACCTCAAGCCCTTAAGGTTTAGCCTTTAATTTTGCTTGCATTGAGCCTGCCATCATCCGCGGGGTTCTTTCCTGGCACCAGCGCCGTCTAACTTGGGCAGCCGAGGGCCAAAATGGCTCCTTGCCTGGCTTCGAGTTGAGGAATTCGGGGGTGCCCTACCGTTTGGGGTTCTGGACCCACGGCCCCAAAAAGCCCGCCTAAAACGCTAGGGACTTAGGGCCAAAATTGGGGTGGAGGACTTTCGGTTGAAGGTTGAATCCGTTTCAGGCTTTTCGTCGCGGCAAAGCCTTGGCTTCGGTACAGGCCATTGGAGTCCTTGCGCTCTGGGTTCTCTGAAGATGATGCCTTTGATTCTGCAGTCACCTTGCTCCTTCGAATGCTTCATTTGCATGCAATCGGAATAAACCTTGAAATGTAGCCTAAACCCAAACCCCAAACCCTGAAATGTAACCTGTAAGCCTTAAATCCTGGTGCGGGCATGAGAGTCGAAAGGGTATAAATCCTGAGCCCTACTAAAGTAACACGGCAACATGTCATTCTTCTGTCTTCTACTGCGAGATCCGTCTGAAGAACCAGCACAATGAAGATTCTGAGTTTTCTGTGATTCTAGCATCGATTCATGTGGCTACTAGGCGTATTACTAGCTTTATTTGTTCCAGGGGGCTTACCACTCTCGAAGATGGAGTCGACTTGGAAGAGCGAAGCTTTGTCACAATTGCGTCTGCATTTTGGGCTTACCGGGTAGAAGGCCCTAAACTCCTGAGCCAGCACCGTGCCAACACCCCTGCAAAACCAAAATCGAGGATGTCCTGAGTGCAGACGCCGTTGCCGATGCCGTGCGAGAGGCGGTTCGGAGTGTGGAGGTCATCGACGTGCCCCTCGGATTGGTATAGAGTCCTTGACACGAGGCTGGATGTTTGGGTAAGGTACGATCACCAGAGTCTTTGTGGTATAGTTGCCGTGTGATGGAGTACGGGAAGACACTTTTCTAGGAAGGGGTGTCGGTCCAGGGTTCTGCGGCGCTTTGGGTCAGAGAGACATCTGAAATCCATCTGTAGAATATTTCCGCGACCTGCACACCTAGTGTGAAAGAGATCTCGAACACTAAGCCCCAAAGCCCAAGCCCTAAGCCCCCTCTTAAACCCCAACCACCTCTAGATCCTCTGAACCTATGTGAGCCGAAGCATGAGTCAAAGGCACACGCACCTCCTGCAACCTGGTTGCATTGCGTTTCCGGTTCGAGGCGGAGTTGTTCTTTGTAACAGGTCGCCTGAAAACGCATGCGATTTGATGGATATAACTTGTCTTCGTAGTAGGCTTTTTTCGCTAAGGAGTGCTTATGGTACATTGTTTTGGGATTTCGCAGAGAATTGCGACGATGAACAGCGGGTGATGAGGCCCGATCAGTTCTCCTTGGAAACAGCCGTAGTAGGGCATCGGCTCTCGCGAGGATGCAGGAGAGGGTTGCAAATTCTGTCGTGAACACCCTCGCAGCTCGTGGTACCGTGCCAAACTTGAGGCAGAGCCCAAGCTTTCTGACCAGCATTTCTGTGCAGTGTAACATACAAAATAGGTCATTTAATGGAAAATGAGTTTGCTGGTCTTAGGATGAGCGCCCGATGACTTGTGATGATGCAGCCCATGAAACAAAGACCCTGTGGCCCAAAAGGATTTAGCTTCGCTCGGGCTTACAGCGTTAGGGCATTTGGGGGCCACAGGTGTTTCTTAGCTGTTTGGCATGTTGTGGGCTTTCATGAAAAGCCAGAAGGTCGTGTTCAGCAGCTGCAGATTGGTCACACCTCTACCGTTTAGATGGGGTGTGCGGGTGCACGCGATGTCATCACAGAGCTTGTCCTTTGACAGCTTGATGTTTTGGGCCAGGGTGTAGAAGTAAAGCTTCTGAGCTGAGCAGAGGCTTTGAGTTGAGGTGCATGCTCTCTTGACTGATGTCCTTTCACTCTGAACCGCCTGAATTGCCGCCGCACCGAAGGCGAACCAAGCTTGCTCCGTCAAGACAGTTGGAAGTCCATGGCGTTGCTTCGGATCCGTTTGCCCGGAGTCCTGCCCGGAGTTCTGTTGGCCCCACCCTGGTGTCCGCCTACAGCTCGGCTTCTTTGCAGCAAGCCTCCTCTCTGGTGGAGGAAAGGCCGACCCAGGACGGTGCACCAGAGCTTCGCGGAGGTGGAGCTGCTGTCCCGTTTAGCGGAGCTCCTGATGCCACAGGAGCCTATCGGCGAGCTCTTCCGGGACTTCCCGGCGAAGAAGTCGGAGGCGTGGGGATCGCGTTGGCTCAGGCCTGACCTCACTGCATTTGGCGTGCTGAAGGACGAACATGCGGCCTTATTTATCGAGTACGACGGGTTCTTTCGTCATTCAAATGCGCAAGGCCAAGAAAGGGATGAGCGGAAGACGACGGCTCTGCTTGGACATGTGCCCGCGAGATCGTGTGTCCTGCGGATCGGTCATGTGAATAGGGATTTGAGCAGGGCGGAAAATGCAGCACAAGCGGTCGTCAATGTGTGGCGAGCCGGGCACGAGCCATCGTTGATGAAAGTCGTGCAACAAACTGGACAGGCTCTTCTGCGCAGTTTTGGACATGTGCTCGAACAGGAGGTGTGTGAGCGTTTTAGTCGCCTTGACATCGCCGAAGCAAAGCAGGATTTTCTCAAAGCTTCAACTTTTGCGAAAGAGGCGGTTCTTACCAGGAACATTGAGACTAAGAAGATCAACATGTGCGAGTTTTTGCAAGGGGAGCTGAAGTTTTCAACTGCTAGAATTGAAGCTTTGGCGTGCAAGTTTCCAAGGATCTGGGGTGTCAACATCGGCAGCAGCCTAAGACCGAAAGTGGCCTGGCTCGAGGATGTTGGGCTGAGCCGAATGCAGGTGGCCAAACTCGTTGCTGGGTTTCCTCAAGTGTTGGACTGCAGCATCGACGGAAATCTGAAACCTACTGTGGCCTGGCTCCAGGATGTTGGGCTGAACCGAATGCAGGTGACCAAAGTCGTTGCTGGCTTTCCTGCAATGTTGGGCTGCAGCATCGACGGCAATCTGAAACCTACTGTGGCCTGGCTCCAGGATGTTGGGCTGAGCCGAGAACAGGTGGCTAAAGTCGTTGCTCGATGTCCTCGAGTGTTGAGCTACAGCATCGACGGCAATCTGAAACCCACAGTGGCCTGGCTCCAGAATGTTGGGCTGAGCCGAGAACAAGTGGCCAAAGTCGTTGCTTGCTCTCCTCAAGTGTTGGGCTACAGCATCGACGGCAATCTGAATCCCGCAATGGCCTGGCTTGAAGTTGTTGGGCTGAGCCGCCAGCAGGTGGCCAAAGTCGTCTGTCTGAGGCCCCAAGTGTTGGGTCTCAGCATCGATGGCAATCTGAAACCCACAGTGGCCTGGCTCCAGGATGTTGGGCTGAACCGAATGCAGGTGACCAAAGTCGTTGCTGGGTTTCCTCAAGTGTTGGGCTACAGCATCGACGGAAATCTGAAACCTACTGTGGCCTGGCTCCAGGATGTTGGGCTGAGCCGAGAACAGGTGGCCAAAGTCGTTGCTCGCTGTCCTCAAGTTTTAGGCTGCAGCATCGACGGCAATCTGAAACCAAAAGTTGCCTGGCTCGAGGATGTTGGGCTGAGCCATGGGCAGGTTTTCAAAGTTGTTGCTTGCTTTCCTCAAGTTTTCGGCTGCAGCATCCAGAACAATTTGTCGCGGAAGCATCGTCTTTTGGGGCAGTTTTTTTCAAGCAGCCAAATCTGCTCCATGATCGAGTACTTACCACCACTGCTCGGCTTGAGCCATGCTCGCCTAAGTCATCGTCTCGGCATCTTGCAGAAGCACGAGCGTTTGAGTGAACTTGTCAAGCTCATGGTTTTGACTGATGCGAAATTTGCCCGACGATTCCCGCATTCAGCTCCGATGAAGTCCATGTCGGATCTCGAACTGCCTCTCGAATTCGGCCAATCATGCGGGCAGACATGCGACAAAAAGTCACGCGCAGCCCGAAGCCGTCACAGCACCCAAGTTGAGATCTCAAGCTGGCTTTGACCACCTCACGTTTCTGAAGTTGCTGCATGCTGACAAGTGATAGCGTTTCCGTAAACCAAAGCCTGAACCCCGCACTTAATGATCAAACCTGACTCAAGCCGAATATATACATGCACACACATGCATTTATATATGCATGCATAGACAATAATCGTAGTAATAGTAATAATGATAATCATAACTGTAATAGTCACACTACTACTGCTGCGTAGTACTACTACTACTACTACTACTACTACTACTACTACTACTTCTGCTACTACTGCTGCTACTACTACTGCTACTACTACTTCTGCTATCACTGCTACTACTGCTACTACTGCTACTACTGCTACTACTACTACTACTACTACTACTACTACTAAAACTACTACTATTACTATTACTATTACTATTACTATTACTACTACGACTACGACGACGACGACTACTACTACCACCACTACTACAAATAATGATAACACTACTACGATCGATGATGATCCTAATGTCATTATGTAGAATAAAAAAACATACTGATAAGTATAATAGTTATTATGATTAAGATAGATGCATAAGTCGTTAGATAGCTAGATAGATAGACAGGTAGGTAGGCAGATCGATAGATAGGCACATAGATAGATAGGTAGACAGATAGACACGCAGATAGATAGATAGATAAATAGATAGGTAGATAAGATAGATAGATGGAAAGATAGATAGATAGATAGATAGATAGATAGATAGTACTTATTTCTAAAGCCTTATCAAGCGCCATGTCGAAACTAATCTAAAGGAAAGGCCTACGCGCCAGAGCTTGGATACCGAGGCCCCCCTCCCACGGGAAGCTCATGCTCTGGGGCATCGATGAGCTCCTGACCTACCACTACTTGGTGTGCCTCGGATACTCTAAGGGTCTTGGGTTCCGGGTTTGGGGTATTCTTAGGTTTGGTACATTCTATGGCAAGGACCAGGAGAATCAGCCGGAGCTTCTTGGATGTAGGCAGGGTTTGCATTGGGGCTTCTGTGAGTGCACCAGGGCCTCAATAGCAACGAATGGTGAGAGGACAGTAGCCACAATATCCTAACTCCATATGCAACCCGGTGTTTTCTGGGCGTTAAGGGCCTCGGCGCTGTCTCCCGAATTTGTTTTTTGCGTTGAAGGTCTTGGATGTGTTTCTAGGCAGTCACGTGCTGGCGATGGGCTGCTGCGGGGGCTTGCTTCTTCAGGGTTTGAATAAGCGGGCTTGAAAAAGACAAGCGCTAAGCTAAGCCACCCCTAAACCCCTATACTGCCACCCTAATCTGTGAGCCTTAAATAGACCTTAATTACCCTAAACATCCCTAAACCACTGTGGAGCCTTTGGAAGATTCATGGAACTTGTTGTTTATCCAGTCGGTCTGTGCTGACTCTTATCCGAGTTTTGGACAGCATGGTAGAAGCCACTGGGTGTAGGACTTAGGCTTCAGGTTGTTTAGGGTTGTGAGTTAGAGTTGAGGCTTTAGGGCTTTGAGGTATTTCAGGGTTGATGAGACCCTCTTTCCTAGATTCGGCTACCGGGATCTAAGTTTCTTCGGCCTTCAGAAACGGTGTAGGGGTTCCTAGCAGCCCCGCCTAGCAGTGGCCGAACGATACCCCCAGCTTCTGATCTGATCGGGTACCAATGGCAAGGTGCTCTCACCCATCAGGCGCAACACGAACAAAAGGAACGCTTTGGGCAGAATTCTCGCAATACTAGCCGTGACTCTAGTCTAAGTTAGGCATATAAGGGTAATATCCTCTGAACTCTACGCCTGTTGCAAACCAAAACCCTGTTCACCATGACTGAAGACCGGAAGCCTCAAGAGAACCATAAACTCCAAGCCTTACTGTACTGATAACTAGTCCGAATGCAAAACCCTCAACCCTCAACCTAAGTCAAAATGACACGGTTCGCTCTTCGGTTCTCCTGGGGACCACATTCAAAAATGACAAGGTTCGCTCTTCAAAACCCCTCAACCCTCAAAGCAAGCCCGCGAGGTCGGAGTACTTCATGGTTGCACCTGCAGATGTTACGCACGATTCCTTCTTCAAGCTCAATAAGCAGGCCGGCCTGTTATAGGCTTACGTAAACCACTGTTTAGCAGTCAACCCGAAAACGTTTGCCTTAGTTTAATAAACCCCTTGACCTATGAACCCCAATGTTTGGACAGCGAATGTGACAAGACCGGCTGTGGGACAGTCCCTCCACAAAGCCTGAGCCCCAAACCTGAACTTGGACCCCAGAACAAGCTTGCAGATCCTGCATGGATGCGCGGGCATCGAGATAGGAGGCCTAAAAGCATGGACAGATTCGGACATGTCGCTCGCGGTTAAGGCTTGAGGGTAACAGCGTGTAGGGGTTTAGGGGTCCGGTGTTTAGGGGTCATGTAAGGGCCTCTCTCGAGGTTCCTTGATACGAAATACTTACCAAGTCCCGCGACCCTCCAAGTAAGACTTAGACACTCAGTTTTCCTGTTTGGGGGTTGTGGGGTTTATTGGTCTTGGGGCTACTCCTCGTCCTCCTCCTCCGCGACTACAACGACGACTGCTACTACTACCACTACTGCCACTACCACTCTACTGTACACTACTCGTACTACAGGAGTTTCAAGGGCTCACCAGTTCTCACAGCCTTGAGGTTTGGGGTCGAAGGTCCCAATCCTCAAACCGGCCTTGCACTGAAAAACCCTGAACCCCTAAACCCCTAGCCCCTGAACCCTAGGCCCCAAGCCCAAAACTCCGAACAAATCTGCGGCCGCGCAAGGGTCAAGCTGACCTCGTGTGGAAGGGGCTCTTCATCGAACGGTCGCCGCAGCCCGACAAGTATAGGGATCAGGGTTTGGGAGTCATTCCCAACTGAAAAATAGACAAATACGGTTTAATGATCAGGGATAGAGTCCAGGCTTAGGGTTTAACAGCTTTGGAGCTTAGGGTTGAGGGTCTAGGGTTTAAGGTTTACGGTTTATCGGATTACGCTTTCTGTGCGATGTGCGGGTGGAGAGACGAGAAAATTTTCATGATGAGGGCCAATTCTGTTAATTGGAGTCATGACCATTCGTTACTACATGTCGTCAGCATCGTTTGTTCACATTGCTTGCTAGAACCAGAGATGGATTGACGATCCGCAGCTATCAAGTCTTCAGTGTGCTGATTCGGCATGATGCCGCCCATACACTTGTTAAGCCATATCACTAACCTTGCTACTTAGCCACAAGAGAGTATATACCCCTTCAGGGATTTTAGGAGATGTTGGCACTTTCTCAGCACACCGGCACAGCGTTAACCTTCAGTCTTCTTGCTTGTCACTGCTTAGCTGCTAGCTGCATTCTGTAGTCCCCAGCTGGCCCACTTACCCTGAATTAACACCATGCACCTTAAAGTCATTATGGGAACCCAGTGTCAGCCCTGACCTCCTAGACGTACTTGCCAGGGCTTGCGATGCTAGAACCCTCGGTGTTTGGCTGGAGTTGGCTTTGAAGAAATCCGCAGCAACCCTGGAAGCATGCAGTGCGCCAAGAGACCGCCTGCAGAGCTGTGCAATACACTTTAACTCTGAGAAATCAGTGAATCAGCGCAATACACCTAAACGCCAAGGCATCAGCACTATGTACTCACAACCCCTGGTAGCAGTAGGCAATTTTGGCAACATTTAAGCTCGGCCTGGACATACATGGGATGAACCTCTCTTGCCAGGACGAAGACCTGAAGCCTGAGCACCCAGAGAGCTCAAAATCCCCGAGTACTTTCAAATATTCGACACGATGAAGGATCGCTTCCGAACTCCCGGACTACTTTAGAGGGTCTTGCAGGTCCTCTGTATTAGACCGGCAACTAAATGCCTGAAGCCCAGAGCATAAATTTCTTCTGGCACCCGGAAGCCTGAAGCCCTGCAGCCCAAGCCCAAAACAAAGCTTTACACGATCCCTAAACCCTGAATCCCTCAAGAGGGGGAGCCCTTAAAACAGCCCTTAAACGATCCCTTAAAGGAACCCTTAAAAGAGCCCTTAGAGAAGCCCTTGAAGAAGCCCTTAAAGCAGCCATGAAAGGCCTGTGAGCTGAGAAGCCCAGGATCTCGGAAGCCTGTCAAGGTGTCATCACCACCCTCCAGAGGACGGTTTTCTTGGGGTTTACTAGGGTTAAGGGTATGGGGCTTACGGCTTTGGGATTAGGGTTTAGAGCTTAGGAATTTAGGTTTTAATAAAGTTTAGGGTTTGGGGTTTAGGGTTTGGGGAGAGGGTTTGGGGTTTGGGGTTTAGTGGTTTGCGGTTTAGGGCCCTCCGGAGGGCGGGCGGATGTGTGGGTACTCTTTGGAGAGTTGTATAAGGAGAATCGGATCCCTGCAGTGGTTCGTGAAAGGCTTCTATAGGCGGTTGCTAGATATTAACGGGGTAGGAGGGTTTTGAGTTTTGTTGTTCTGTCTCGGGGGTCTTTCGTGCTTCAAGCTTTATATTTCGGGCTTGTGGAGTTTGCAGATAGGGCTTTGGGAGTGTAGATTGATGGAGGGTGTAAGGTTCAGGTGAACTAAGCAGATGTTTGTGTAATCAGAAGACTTTTGCCAACTTACTGATATTTTGAGGGGCTGATGATCGGCCTTTTGGGAAAGCATGAGGGCAAGATTACTGGTGCATGTCTGTTTCGACCGTTTCCCTCGGTGCCAAGCTAGGGACGACACTGGGCTTTTGCAATAGACAAACAGTACTATTCCACAGCCCCACGACCAGGAAAAGCAAAGAATAGATAACAGACACACACACACACACCCACAGCCTGCTCAGAGAAAAGTGCAGTGACAGTCACAGCAGCAATGCGCTCTCAATCCAGTTTGTTGCTCGCGCTGTAGCCGGCATGGCCTACTGAGGCCATGCACAAGTACCGTACACGTAAAATTTCATCCGAAGAACTCCGCAAATCTCGTCCACAATATTTCGCGCATCTCGAAATTACAAGATGCGTAAACGAAAATCACAACAACCGATTGAAACTGATTGAAAACCAAAAACCCTTGAAATACTGTCTGCAGCCCCAGCACTACCATAAAACCGCTTGGACACTCCTAGGCCTAAGACTTACACCCAAATTAGAATTCAGCCGCTCTCGTCAGATCTCTCATCCTCGCCTGGACAGCCCGAGTTGCGAGAGATCAAACCAATTTAAACGCCCCCTGAAAGACTGGGACTCGGGGCCCTTCTGGCGAAGAGGGACTTGCCGGCCATCCGGGAGTGGAAGCTTGGCCGGAAGTCTTAGAAAAAAGGAAAGGTCGAGCCGGAATAGTTGGAACTACTTTGCCTTAGGGTTCCTTATTCAACTATGGGACAACATCTTTAAGGTTGGGGCTTAAGTACAGTAACAACAATTGCCAATGTTAATTGTTGGGGCTCCTCTGTTCGAATTATTCTATCTATTCAGCCCATATATAATCTACCCTAAACTTCTTTGTGAACTTCAAAGCCTGAACTCGCGACTGTCCCCCCGGACCGTTAGGGTCTAGGACAGACTACTTAGAGGATCAGGGGGCTTAGTAAGCAGGGTCAGAATTCGGAGCGCGAAAACTATAGTATTACCTACTTATTATAACCTTAAATTGAGGTACTTAGAACCCGACTTGCTAAGTCCGGGGATCCTTCAAGGATAGGCAGGGATGCCTGTATGGTGTTTCCATATTCTTCAATCAGTGCACCGTGTGGTTGTTCAGGCCTTCACGCTAGTCCCTATTCCTGTCCTGCCCGGGGCATCGTCAAAAAGTGCAATGGACAAGTTTAGGGTAGGAGCTGCCACTCTCTCAGACTCTGCAGCAGTAACCTTTACCTGAAACTTAAAACCTTCCGCGAGCAAACCCAGGTTTGCGGCGCAGAACCTGGAGCCCTTTCTTTTTTGAGGGCGGTGGGGGCCGATGGCTTGGGGTTTAATACGGATGATTATTAAACGAGAATAGGGTTTTAGGATTCAGGAATTTCGGGTTCAGGCTTTTCCATTAGTCCAAGATTGAATTTTGTTTTTTGATTCAGGGCTTAATACGGTTGATGATATAAATCCTGCATTACTTTAAGGACATTAAACTATGGGAATTATTGTACATTCCTTGTATGGGTAATGCAGGGTTTATATCATCAAACGTAGTCTAGGATCGAGGTGCCGAGGGCTGTGCTGAGGGTTCAGGCCTGAGGAATGTTTCATGCCTTCAACTCAGGCTTGGTGATCGGGGGATTTGTTTCCAGGCTTCTATCGGTGCATTGGCAACGGTCCATTCTTTCGTCCTTCAACACGATTCTCAAACTCAACCCTAAACCGCAAACCCTACTAAACCCTAAAACCGTAAACCCTAAACCTCAGACCATCAACCTTTTTCAAGCCTGAAGTCGAAGCCAATTTGTGCTTTCCATGGGAGCCGTAGTCGGGCCAGACAGCCAGAGCGAAAGTCTGCTCCAGGGCCTCGCGGTTCATGTAGGGGCCTTAGTAGTTAGAATATGATTTTGGGGGTTCCTTATCATGTTTTCGTGCAATAGAACCCCCAAGCCCTATTTCAAAGGCCCCGCAAAGCTAAATGCTTTAGGTATGGCTCTCTCTGCCTTGCAGGAGGAGCATGTGGAGAAGATCTTCCGGCTAGCCAGGGTGCGCTACGCAGTGCCTGGGCATAGCCCTATCCCCCATGCATCCTGCAAAAAACCCAGGTTTTGAACCCTCCGATGACCCCAGAAGACTTAGCAGCCCATGATGAAAACATATGAAAATCCTTGACTGCAAATTTTTGAACACCGGAACCCCGCAGGAGCCCCGAACCGCCAAAGCCTGGGTTAGGGCTTCTAGGGTTTAGGATGTAGTTTGGTCTTAAGATGTTCGGAATCTTTGGAGGTTTAAGGTTATGCGGCTAGGGCCTAGCTAGAGTATCTTTTGCGGTACGAGCTGTCTCTCAGTGTAGGCTTGCTGGACTTGGGTGTTCAGATTTTCTTATGGGTTTAGGGTTGTTCTTGTATCATCATTATACAACTTGTACCAGAAGCTTAGGGCTGTGAATTAGTATGAAGCATTTGTTGATGCACGCAATGCAGACATGAGCACTTCGGCGGGGGCCGAGCTGGACAGTCCGGGCAGCAGTCAGGCCCTTTGTGAAGAAGCGTTTAGAGATTTGGGGTTTAGTTTGTTAGGGGTCGAGTCCCCTGTGAAAAAAAGGTAGTTAGGGGCCTAGGGTTCCTCCAGTGAGGTTTTCTTCTGGTTCCATCCCTCGTTCATAACATCCTTCCGAGCTCTCCTAAGGGATTGGGCCTCAAGGGTTCAGCTCCTTGTGTGCAGAACATTGTAAAACGCACCAAGAACCATGGAGGGACATGGCAAAGACCACCTACTGGCCTGCTGCTGACGTGAAATCTACACCCAGAACTTCTCCAGCTGAGGTCATGACGAACATTCCTTACGTCGAGGACGGCGTTCTATCCCCACAGTTTAGGAAGCAAGGGGCTTTGCCTTCTCGGGCGGGACAGGCTGGAGTGGCATTTGGCATAAAGGTTTCGAAGTTTAAAGTTCGTAGTTAAGGTTACTGTGTGAGTAGTGAGTAGTGTGTTTAAGGAATCGTTCGGCAGGTCTAGACTACATGGTTTGGTGCTAAAGTACTCGCAGTTGAAAGTCTGTATTCGATGATTGAGTTCCATAGTCCTCACTGCAAGCTTGGACCTTGCTGGGCTTTAGGGTTGAAAGGCCGCACGCCGGCTCATAAGTCACATGGTAGGATAGCATCTACTCTGCGCTCTCGCTCGCTTTGCCATGTGGCGGTTTGAGGTTTTGGGCTTTATATAGGGTTTCAGGGTTTAGGGTTTAGGGTTTTGGGGTGTAGGGTTTAGGGTTTAGGGCGAAAGCTGGCTCAGTAGTCAAGCTGCTAGGGCGTTGCTTGCTCCAACTCTGGGCGAAGTGGAAGGCCTGCTGCAAAAAGGGTATCGGGCTGAACTTGCGGCTGAACATCTTAAGATGCCCGGTCTGTGGTCTTAATGTCGGAAATGCCTTCTGATAGATTCATGGCCGTTTGCTTTCTTCATGCCAATACTGTGTAAAGGCATGCTCCTGCAACCTGCTATCCATGCCATTATACGCCCCAAACCCCAAACAAATTCCTTGCGGAACCTGCAGCTCCCTTGGTGCCTGCAGAACCAGAGCTAGCCTCCCACACCCTGAATTACAACCCTCATCCGTGAATCGGCCACCTCATGGGTCTTGTGTGGATCGTTGTATTCGTCCATCGATCGGTATATTTGTTCATCTATCTCGCTTTATCTAGCCCCCCTAGTACAAGCAATGAGTACAAGACTGTCTTCCGAGCTCGAGGCAGCCGACCTAAACCCCAAAAGCCCTAAACCCCAAACTCCCCCGAACTCTAGAACCCCAAAAGCCCGAAAGTCCTAAACTGTCCCGAACCCTAAAAACCCCAAAGCCCTAAACCCTAAACGAGTCGCATCGTTCAAGTCGCCAGAGACCCGAAACGGTTCTGCCCAGGAGGAGGCGCAGCACTGGCGCGAGGATCCTCCGAAACCCGTGACGAGCCGCTTGCGCCACCTGGAAATGACGTGTAAGGGTTTGGGTTCATATCGGGTCTGAGGTTTTGGGGCCGCTTTTGGATGGAAAACGCGCCAGGCATTGAGATTGAAGCTTCATCGTCCAGGCTTTAGGGTTCAAGCTATAGCTACCCTTGAACATTTAATATCCTTACATTGAGTTTAATGTTTCCTCGCTCGAACGCGCCACCACGGTGGGTTGGGGCTTTGGGCTGAGCCCTTGTCACTTTTGGGTTCAGGAGCCAAAGTCCGGGATAGTGGCGGGATTGCATTGTTTTTTTCGGGTTTACGGTTAATGTAGGGGCCTTAAGAACTAAAATAGGGTTTGGGGGTATATTATGCTATAAATATAATAAGAACCCCCCCAAGAATGATACAGGTAATTATTTCGGGCCCTGTATAAGGGCTCTAGGGCTGTCGGGCTGAGGGTTCGGAGTTAGAGTTTCTAGAATCAAAACCAGTTCAGGTGTCCATGGTGTCCGGACCTACACCCCGCCTAAACCCGGAAGCTCCTCCGACCCAATACAGAGGCTAAAGGAAGCCTTAAAGACAGCCCAAGCCAAAGAACCTTTATAAAATCCCGCACAACCCCAAGCCCTAAACTCTAAAGCCTAAACCCCACAAACCCTAAAAACCCTAAACCCTTCAATCCTAAACCCTCAAACCCACAAGAGCCCATGAAGCTCGAAAGCCGCTGATCCTACCACCCTAAACCCTAAGCCCTAAACCCTAAACCCTAAACCCTAAACCCTAAGCCCCATGGACCCGAGGCAAAGCTCTTCGCATTGACAGCTTCCTGACGCCCGGGGCGAAGCAGGGTTTAGGGTTTAGGGTTTAGGGTTTTTCAGCTCTCGGTTTGCATGCTTTCAAGGCGACATATGGGTAGTTCTCTCTATATTAGGGTCCCTTTTTGGGTCCCCGATATAGTACGGCACCCTTATGAATAGGACCCCCAAAGGGACCCGAATTTAGAGAACTACCCATATGGGACCGAATACATACATACGGTTTGCATGCTTTCAAGTCGACATATGGAACAAACACAGACGTACATACGTACGTACACGCACCCATACACAGAGACATGCTTTCGCATGAATTCAGTCGGTCGTTCTTGGATCCGTGCATTACTATACTCATACATACGAGCCGTTTCACGAACTTGCAGGGGCTATGGCTAGGCTGACGGTCTCTTCGTCTAGCCGTCTTGCAGTGTCTGGCTATTCACATCAGTTCCATTGTACTCTATCTACTCGGTTACATCATATTATAGTATATCCAAATTTGTTCGATTGTTCATCATCCTGTATTAGAGGTCCTTTCCTTCCGCGACATGCGCATTGTTAGATGCGGAAGGCACGAAAGAGTATTCGTAGAGGTCCAGCTATCTCTACTTGGAGCTACTTCAAGTTAGTTACGTATAAGGACAGCACCACGTAAGGGCAGCCACCTGCTATGTGAAGGAAGCTGGGCTTCTGGCGCAATTCATGATCTTTTTTCTCCCTCGTCATCGCAGACGTAGCCGAGACCCTTCAAGTCCTACTAGGAAGCATAGGCCCCCAGACCCCATGACCCTAAACCCCAACTGTAAACTAAAGCTCCTAAACCCTAAAACCCTAACCTTGAGACCCTAAAACCCTAAACCCTAAGTCCTGAAGCCCTCAGCCCCTTAAACTCCGCTGAAATTCCGCAACCCCTAAGCTCGTAGAGCTCTCATCGAAGCCTTACAAGGGGAACCCTCAGCCAAGTCTGCGAGACCTGAGGAAGGGAGACTGGATGTCCATTAGCCAAGCCTTGAAGAAGGAAGGCCTCGAATCTTGGTCATATGGTTTAGGGTTGAGGGTTTGGGGGGTTTAGGGTTTAGGGTTTGGGTAGTGCCCCCTCTCAGTAGCAGTTGGATAATATTCATATTATGGATATATTAGGCCCTTAGCAGTAGCCCCATTATAGAATGTTGCTGTATGGGGGCAGTACCCAAGGTTTAATGTAGGGGTCTAAATAATTACCAATACTACTTTGAGGGCCCGAATCTCCTCATCAGCGAGGCATGTCGTAGAGCCCCAGTTCCCATGCAATTGCTCCAATGGAGAAGGGAACGACCGAGATCTCGTACGTGGTGTGGAAGCTCAACGCGGGTCGTGTCGCGATGCTTTGGGATTACCTGCTCGATGACATCCAAGTACCCAGCAGCCTGCAGAGCTTGGCGTTCGGCTGCCATTTCAGCCGGAGTCTTGAGGGCATCCAATTCCCTGGCAGCCTGCAGACTTTGACGTGTGGCCGCCATTTCTGCCAGAGCCTGAAGGGCATCCAGCTAGTCAGCAGTCTGCAGAGTTTTACGTTCTGCTACGCGCTCAACCGGAGCCTGGAGGGCATTCAGCTACCCAGCACCTTCCGGAGTTTGACGTGTGGTCGCCATTTCTGCCAGAGCCTTGAAGGCATCCAACTGTCCAGCTGCCTGCAGAGCTTGATGTTATGCCTGCGTTCAACCGGAGCCTGGAAAGCATCCAGCTACCCAGCTTCCTGCAGAATTTGTTGTTTGGCTATGAGGTCAACCAGAGCCTGGAGGGAACCCAACTGCCCAGCAGCCTGCTGAGTTTGGCATACAACTACTTCGCCGGATGCGCGTTCTGTGGCGACTGATGCCTCTTACAGTGATATGCTCTAGGAACACAAAATTAATTGCCTAGGACCATCTGCTTGAGGATGCGGATCATGTAATCGCTGCACCTTCCCTTACCTGATGGCTTTGTACATATCTTTGTTGTGTATTGTCCGTGTTCGTACAGATTGTTACGAGTCGCATGGCCCAATCTGCATATACGCAGTCACTGTGCTGATACTTGCGGCCATGTATGAGGGTCCCCGCGGGCATGTATGGCCTCTTAAAGGGACCCGTTTTGGAGGAATAGCTGTCCGCTCGTGATATGTGGCCATCGGGAGTTCCCTTACTTGGGCCTGAAAGGCTCAGTTTTTGCAACTCCGAGTGCACACTACAAGCTTGTAGATTTCTGCTCCGGGGTTGCATGTTTTTGTTAGTTCAGGGTGCAGGTGCTGAGTCTCAGCTTTTCTTGCATCCTGCTCGGCTGGATGGCCTCAAAGGAACACTGGCCTTGTGATGATGAGGGGGCCACCGCCTCTTTCTGGTGGCGCTCGAATTCAGCATGGGTTTTTGGGGCGCACTTCCCCGTGCCGCAACATGCGGCCTGAAGACCGACTGCCCATCATCAATCAATCAATACTACTTTGAGGGATCCTTATTGTAGGTATAGTATATTGGGCCTCAAAACCTTATTCTAACTACTGAGGCCCCTACATTAGTGTTTTGGGGGTTTAGAGATTAAGGCCTTTCGGGTTTAGGACTTCGCTTAAAGCTGTGCTGTTTGCCGTCGTGCATCTTGTTTCTGTCATGGTTGAGTCGCCGCAGACCACGGGTTTAGGGTAAGGTTTCGAAACCTGGATCAAGGCAAAGACTCCAATTCATGCTAAACTCTAAACTCTGCACGAACACCTCGGGTTTAGGGTTTAGGGTGATGGCGATCTTTGCATGTTGTTTAGATCGTGTGTCATTTCCTCAGTTCCACATGCGGCTTTCCGGCTAGCGGGTTCTTCCGCCTGGAGACTTCGTCCATCAAGACATTTTGGGGCTCTCCTTGTCAGTTCTCCTTTGCATGGGGCTCTGGTCCCGGGTTGTGGGGTTTCGGGAGAAGGGCAATAACATCCGAGTCCCCTGGTTAAGAAGGGGTTTTGGATCTTTAGGGCTTTGAGATTCCCGCTTTCTCGGGCTCCGGAGTTGCAGGATTTTAGGGCTTGGGGGTGCAGTGCAAAGTAGTGGGGCGGCTGGTTTTGGATTCCGGGAATTCCCAGAATAGGGAGCCCGAGGTTAAAGGACAGGAATCGTAGAAGCACTCAAAATGCGGAGTGTCTGAGCTCTTAGCCATGACGCCTATCACCCAAACCGAAGTGTTTCAAAGGTGAATGAAGGACACCTATAAAACCTTATCAACCTTATTTTGTTTATATGTATTGGGTTGATATTCGTATGGCTGAATAGTGGGGCATTTCTTGCCTACCAAGTAACGTGCTTTTCGTTCCTCGGTTGAAGGTGCTGCCACCGGGCGCCCGCAATGATTCGACTTCAAACATCTGGCCCTAAACCCTAAACCCTCAAATGATCTCAAATGTCTAGCCCGAATATGGGGGCCTAAATAACTACCTATACTATATTGGGGTTTCCTAATTATAGATATAGAATAATATACCCCAAAAACCTATTCTACTTATTCAGGCCCCTACATTATGGCCCTAAATCCCGCACACTAAATCCAACGTTGGGGGTAGGAATAATGGGTAATTCATTTCAATTTTCCTACGTATTTCATAAACCCCCAAAGTGCTCCTTCATGCCCAGTGCCCAGGAAGAGAGCCTGGAGGGGGCGCAGGACAACATGGCCAGGGATTCGGGGCTCCAGGCTCAGGGAGATCGACACCCCCTAAGTTTAGGGTTTAAGGTCTAGGGTCAGGGAGATTCAGGCAATGTGCACCAGGTTGAGGGTTTCGTACTTAAGGGTTGAAGCCTCCTGAACCTTTAAGACGACAAGGCCCTTAGCCTTACACTTTCCATTGTGCAGAGACTTCCCCAAACCTTGCCTTGCCTAAAAGACCGCTGAACCTTCAGCCCTGAGCAAAGCTGAAGTAAGACACTTCTCCTGAGTCTCAGCCTTACCCATGACAAGCCCGCAGAAACGCCAGAAACCAAAGCCCTAAGCACCCGAGCTCTGGCCACCGTTCGGACCCTGGCAGGACTATCTTCGCAAGTGGGCGAAGACATACAAGCCAGAGCAGCCCCGCTTGCAAGGGAGTCGGTGGTTTTGCTGAGATCAAGGACGTGGTTTGGAGTTTGGTTTAGTCCTCGCGGAGATAGGTGGGGTTCCTTTTGATTTCAGGGTTTCGTGGGTTACGTGGCAGCTGTCCTTGTGCAAACGGAAGCACACAAGAAGAGCCCATAAGTTGTACATCTAGGGAGATCAGGTTTTGGACCATGAAGCCCTGAACTCAAAGGCAATCACCCTCAATCTCCGAACTGATGGATGGCGTCCTCTTTGAATTCTCTGGTGGTTTTTAGCTTTCCCTAAAAAGGGGGCTTGAGTCCGTCCGAGGAAGAGAGAGAGAGAGAGAGAGATAGAGGTAGTAAGAGCTCATGAACTGCTTTTCGTGTTTGGGAACTTACCTGGTACTGTACCTTTGAGCCCTAAACACCTTCAGCCCGGACTCAAAGGCCCACGCGCAGACACTCCATTGTGTCTTAATGTAGGCCCATTCCCCCCTCAAGAATTCCTGCCATGGTTACCGGAAGATTTCTTCGACTCCAGAGACCGCGAAAAGCGGCTCCTTATTATAATTATAGTACAATATACCCCTACCCCCCCTTCCCCCCAAAATCCTATTCCAACTATTAAGGCTCTATATTAAGCCCCAAGGTACATGATGGCCTCAACGCCCCACGACTGGCGCTACCCGGAGCCTGCAGCTGCTGCGACGATGAAGCCCTTGGTGAAGGCACGATTTCTGGTTTGAGAGCGTGAGGTGTTGTGTTCGGAGTTTAGGGTTTATGTTTCTACATTGCTTTATCGAGCTTTTCTGGAGTTTGTATTTTGGGGTTTTTGTTTCTTCTTCTAGAGTGTTTCAGGGCTTACCGCTGAAACCTCAAGCTGCATGTTTCGGGCTTGTGAGGTGGGATGAAGGGAAGTACGGTGCATGTCTTCTGGCAGTTACCAGTTCCAGGCGCAAAAGGGCTCGAGGGCGTGACGTTTATACCCTCATTCGGACCGAGGATGGCTGTTCAGGGCTGATAGTGATTAGGACCTCAAAGCATAAATCCCACGCCGAAAGCCTAGATCCTAAACCCAAAAGCCTAATACACGAAATCCCAAACCTGAAATTCCTAAACATCCATAAGCTTTACGATGCCCGACCCCAGAGCCAAGCGTCCGAATCAGGCAGAATGCATGCAACAAACCCCTACACCGCTGAAACCCCTAACACCTAAACCCTAACCTCAAAACCTCCCCTGCGCCGAAGTGCTTCAGGCCTACGCAGGCTTTGGAGCATCTGAGCTATTGGAGAAGGCCTTCGGGGGCTTTGAGCCTCATTTCTAGGGTTTTCAGGTTTTGGTGGTTTAGGGTTTAGGGGTTTTATTGTTTTACCGTTTCGGCGAGTTTCGGGGTTTGCGTCGATATATGGCTTTTTCAGGGTTCAGATTTTGAGGGGGTGGGGATGTCTAGTTTGGGGTTCAGACGTTTAGGAAGTCGGGTTTGAGTGATGACGTCTTTCAGGGCTCAAGGGTGTAAATCGTTACTGTAGAACCCAAGCCGCAACCGGAGAAAATTTTGCTGATCTGGGGCTAAATAACCTACCTTCTTACTTACGGACCTGTGATATAAGGACATCGTTACAAGGAGTCCCAAAAACTAGACGGCTAGTTCAGGCACTGCTATTATTAAAGCCCTACACTCGAAAAGCTGCTAACACCTTTTCCGAAGTTTCCAGCCCTGTAAGGGTAAACCCATAAGACCCGCAACCTACGACATCAATTGGTCTGGGATCTGATTGAACCTTTCTTGAAGCGGTAGGGTTCTGAATCATATAGGCGCCTTACAATTAAGAAGACCAGGGTTTGGGTGCAGATTTATGCTCATAGCCTTCCTGCCACGTCAAGGCACGTCTTCCCTTCGACTGAACCATGGACCCTGAACTAACTTCCGCACGGCCCATGTATGAGTCCCAACCCCCGAAAGTCCAGTGTCGTCCCTGCGATACAGTCAGCTGGGCGGGAGGGGAAAGCAACCTAAAAGCCGGAAATCTTCAAGAGACCCGTGTAAGGTGGTGGCACCTGTCTGTGAGGACAGCCGATGCACAGACCGAGGTGTTTAGGACTTGGTGTCCAGTTGTTCTTTGTTTTTGAACTTTGCGTTCCATGGATTCAACGATTGGGAAAGTCCTGTATGAGGACTTAGGGCAAAAAGGTGTATAGGGGATTGGAGCTTTTAAGCAATAATGAGGATGTCCGGGTGACATGGGACGTCAGGGTTTAGTGTTTAGGGTGTCGGGACGATTTCATGGCATACCAATACTATGTAGTCCGTAAGGGTGCCTTATCGTTTGAATGCCACAATATTTCACCCCTCGCCCAAAACCGCGTATTCTAGTTATCTAAGCCCAATATATCGCGGCATTAGGGTCAGGGATCGCTTGTATGATGGAAGGCGCCCCTTACTTTCTGACAGTGGCTAAGGTCTCTAACCTCCGGGCGATCCCCGTTAGGGCTTAGGGTGGAGGGTTTAGCCTTGAACCCCAAACTTCAAAACGCTGAGCCGTAAACAGCCGTCGAGAAGGCGTGACTTTTGAGCTGGGTTCGCAGCGCGGCCCGGTGTTGTGACAACTGACATCAACGGACTCCAACCTCTGTTATACAAAAGCGTGACGCAGCCCAAACCTGTGCCCTATGCCCAACTTCGACCTGCGAGAGTCTACTTTCTTGGAGCGCTGTAAGTACGTGGCGATTTCAGAACTGGGGACGCCGCAAATGCCTGACATCCTAAAACGGGAGGACATGTATTCTCTGAAGGCTCAGGGTTTTTCGCACTGCACTACCGCCGCAGGCATTTTGCTTGGTTTCTTGTGGATCCTAGAGTCATGTTGAGGGAATCGGGCTCAGCAACGTCGCGGGTTTGGCCTAAACCCCTACAGCAGAGAAGGTCGGAAGTGGGCCTGGGCCTTTGAGATGAGTTCTATCAGGGCTGAGTAACTAGTACTCGTATCCTCTAGTAGCCCATATAAGCAATATAGAAGTAAAGTATAATCTCCCCAACACCACTTCTTCACCTATTCTATAACTGTCATTATCAAACGCCACGGTAGACCGTGCCACATGCGCACAAAGTTGTTTTTTATACCCCTAACCGGTCGGGCGTGCCTGTGAAACATGGGCGACTCCGACGACTCCCCAGTCTTTCGACGCCGGCGGAGGTGGACTAACGGGAATAGACTTTGGGGTTTGGCATCCTAAGCTCTCAGCTGCAAACTGGGTTGTGGAGTTTCTGTATTGGCAGCATTCGAGCGTCTGTAGCTCTTCGTAACTGGCTTGGTCACGAGGGTTCCGGAATCAACATCTTATCTCTTTAGGTCTCTGTGCTGCCTTCCGTATCAAGCGCAGCCATGTCCATAAAAATCAAAACCCCACTATGGTGCTTGCGATTCCTCTGCTTGTATGTTTGCCACTGGCCCCTTGTTTTGGGCTCCTGAGTTTTGGCTCGGCTAGGGAGCGAAATCCGGACACGTTGAGTCTGGAGATGTTTTTTCAAGGTTTCCTGCAGCCCCTCCTGAAAAAGGGTTTGAATGTTCCAGGGTTGATTTTGGATTGCGGGGTTGCGGGTTGAGCATTGAAGTCAAAGCCTTTTGAAGTGTCGACATGGCAGCCAGCGTCCTTTGGGAGCGTCCCAGGTTTCTATTCACGGTCCTGAGCAGGGGAAGAGCCAGAGAGAGAGAGGGGTTTGAAAGGTTCAGGCTTTAAGGGTCTGAGTTCCAAAAACATGGGCGCAGATCCCTCAGTAGCCCCACATCGCTACCTGCGCCAATAGTCTGCTTCTCTTGCTGTTGTCTGTCTTTGTAGCTGCATTGGTTCTATGGCGTTCAATATGTGAATATGCCGTTGCTGCATTATTAAATTAATTACTTGAGGTGTATCACCACCACTGCAGCCATCGTCACTGTTTACCAGTGTCACCGTTGATATGAAAAGAAGCGTGTGTGACGATGTTGCTTCGTGCTGGTGAGGGCGACGACAACCGCGATGATGACGACCACTGCCACAACAAAGACCCGGTTGCTGAGGAGTACAGCCCTAAACCCTGCAGCCTAAGCCGTTTTGAGCCTTGTAGGCCAAGCCTCAACTGCAAACTATCCCAACCCTCTGCCCTAAACCCTAAACCCTGACGAAGACTAGGATTGAGGAGACTACTCTGTACCTGGGCCGCCTTGGCTCATAACTTTCCCATCATATGTGTTTCTCAAGTTACTCTACCCGAAACCTCCCTACTTAGCCTCCTCGGCGTAGTCATTGAAGTCCACCAACTAGCTACCACAAGAGTGTGGACTTTGATGTGAACATGCAGCGCTCTCCCTGATTATAGGGTCTTTACTTTAGGGCAAATTGTGTTTGCCGACAGCTGCATGTTGATCTGGTGCTTTGTTTCACGTTGCTGACTCGAACCACATGCCTCGCCTGGTTTGTCCGAGTGTGAGCGCCGAAACCCTAAACCCCAAGCTTCTATAAGCCAGTAGCTTTACACCGGCTCAGAATCATTCAGGGGCCCGAAAGTACGGAAGAGAACCCTAGTTTTAGTTAGGCATGTCGCGGCCTATAGGGTTTAAGCGGATGGAAGCCGTAAACCTGCACCACAGGAAGACCGCAAACAACTTAGTTTTGCTATCTGTGAGAGCGCGGCAGCTGTAAAGATTTTGCAACACAATTTTAAATCCCACCGGTCTGCTGTGAGGCTACGACCCTGTCGCGAGCCCGAGCCTGTGGCGGCTTCGCTAGAGGAGGCGCTTAGGACAGTTTAGGATTTAGGGTTTAGGATTGTGGGTTTGGGGATGATCCGTGCGCTTCTGGCTTTCAGGGCTTTAGAACTTGGACGTTGTAGGCTTATACTTGTAGCATTTAGGGTTAAGCGCCGGTGTATAGGATATAGGGCCGTTTCGGGTGTAGGGTTCAAGGTTCGACGGGTAAGGTGAGTTCCTCTTAGAGCCATTATAGGTTTTTCAGTGGATTCTGTTAGGCTTGCTACCAGAGTCTGTGGTATTGTGCGGCCTCATCGTTGCGAGAGAAACAAGCTTCGACGGCGCTCCCAGTACAACTGCCGGTATGTATATAGTACCAGTACAGGCGCGATAAGACCCGAACCTTCAAAAAAACACTCGCTGCCACTACGGCAAGGACGGGGATGACTCAGAGATCTTGGGGTTAGTTCGTCAAGGTGTTATTTCGGGTTTGGGGTGTATGCCTTCTGATGATATTTAAGTTCGTGGTTTTCGGCTTTAGGTAGGTAACAATAGTTTTGGTCCTAGGTTGTGGGGATTAGAGTCGGATTTGGCATCTCAGGGTTGGAGGATACATTGGGTTGATGAAGGCGTACGGTTGAGGAACTCTGCGGGTTCGTATGGGTGTTTGGCATTGTTGAATTATGATTTAGGGGGACCCCCCTAAAGGGGTATGGCAAAGGGAGTTTGCTAGCAAGGGTTTTTGCTGATGGTTGGTTTTTTGTCCTCTGTTTACTCCAGCGTGGCCTCACCAGCACTCACTAGCACTCACTAGCACTCACTAGCGCTCACTAGTGCTCACTAGCGCTCACTAGCGCTCACCG